GGTGAGGGGGAAGGGGGAAGGGGGAGAAGAGCCGAGAATAAACTGTGTTAGAGACATTGAGGAGGAGGAGTGACTGGGCCAAAACTCAGGGGTGGAGAGAAGAGAAGATAGTGAGGGTGGAGGAAAAGAGGTGGGGTTGAGCTGGGAGGGGAGAATAGAGTATATTGGTATGAGAGGGAGGGGAGAGAAAGGAGGTGAGAGTCGCGAGGTTGATGTAAGAGGGAGGGGAGGGCAAGGAGGTTGTTATGCGAGGGAGGGGAAAGCTGGGAGGGGAAGAGCGGGAGGTTGGCGTGAGAGGGAGGGGAGGGCAAGGAGGGGGAGAGCGGGAGGTTGATGTGCGAGGGAGGGGAGGGCAAGGAAGGGGAGAGCGGGGAGGTTGGTTGATCCAGGCACGGCAGTCTGAGGCCATAGCCCATGAGCAGCACACCCGCTCTCTGCCGACGCGCTCACACGCGCACACGAGCACACACACACAACCACGGGGATAATCGATCTGGCCCATCGATTTTTTTGTCCAGCTTGGCTAAACTAAAGCCTCGGTGCATGCCCCGCCTGGTTGTTGTACACTGGCTCTACGGCGCTGATGCTGGCGGCGGCTGTGCGCTATACCGTGCTGCTGGACTGCAGTCCTCCGACACAGCTGACGGCTCAACAACCTCGACACAATCCCTTACCACGCACGCGCGCGCGCGCACGCACACGCACACACACAGACACACGCACACAAACACACACACACACACATACACATACACACATATACATATACACACGTCATTCCCGACGCTGGCGTGGTTTTAATAGACTATTGAGCGAGGTCTCAGCTTCATATTTTGGGTTCAGTTTTAACCGAAAGGCTCATCTCTCCCGGAGCCGCCTTGTTTATCACCCTAGCACAACAGGGGGACGGGGTGCTGATGAGCAGCGGTGGGGAAAGAGCGATAGCGAGAGAAAGTGATGCGATAGCGAGGGAACGGGAGCACTGTGAGGCAGGAGTGTTGTGCTCACCACTGCGCATGGGGGAGGGGAAGTGGGGGAGGGGCAGTATTTCACACTTACCTAACAGTAGAAGTTTTATATCCTTGGCTGCCTGTATGCCATCTTCCTTCAAGTTTTTCTCGATGGCTTTGCTCCTTTCCATAGCAGCCCGCTCCTCTGCGCTGAGTGCACACCCCATGGCTCCGTTTGCGAGTTCCCTGACCTCCCAAACGACCGGCAACACGCAACTGCCCTACTCGATGTCTTCTCGCCACTCCGCTAACGCCGTGGTTACGGGTACCACGCCAGCTGATGGGAGCGTGGCCAAACACAGAAGAAAGACCAACCCGAAATGCCCCGATGAATAGGAAACACCCGAAATCCGATCACAATGAAAAAAATCCACGAATGATGAAAATTTCACAGCCACTTCTGAGACCGGTACATGAAGAACCCGGCCGCCGCCCGAACAGATTCAGACCTGCTAAATATGTCGGCCTCTTGTCCTGCATAAAAAGCAAGCTCTCGGCCAGTGTGAGATTCCGCGAGATGTCGCAGTGCTCTGGGCCTCCACTCGATGAAACTCCACCAGCGTCTTGGGAAGCAAACGGCAGTGGAGATAACACACAAAATCCGGGCTGCTGTCGGGGGAGAGAGTCGACTGTCGCTGCTCACTACTCGATTCCACAACAAACACACGGGCGGACGCGTTTCTCATGAGATCTGCAAGCTACAACGAACCGGAGCCATCTTTCGGAAGGAACAACGATAATCCCCTACACCCCGCATACAATGCTAAACCTGAGGTCAATCAAAAACCTCGTGCCGCTAGGAGAGTACGTGAACCAGTAGGAAACAGAACCAACGATAACCTCTCGAATCGAAACAAGAATCTGCTCACTACTAGGCCTACCGCTAGCATGAAATCGACTGAGCCGCGGTCTGGGGCCGACGTGACGTCACACAGCGCAGGGCCTCTCCCCACATTACTCCCGAAGCTATACTATTAAGAAATTATGAAAATTAAGGTCATTTCATATTACGATTGCCGTGCCCGCCTCAGCGCCTATCTCCTGGCTTTAACACACAAAAAACGAAAGAGAAGAGTTCTTTTCTGTGTTACACTTGTTTTACCCGTTTCCAACAGCGATCTTTTTATCTGAATTTCCTCGCGAACACTACGGGTGCGTGCGCTTTGTATTCTGAGTGAGTGCATACATTAGCATAATGAGCACTAGTGGGCGGTCGATAGCTTGAGGGCCGTGCGCGTGTGCCTCATCCTGTGCCGCTCACAACAAGTAGACGATCGTGAGTTGACAAAAAGTACTCGCCCCATAGAAACTAGAGTTATTGTGTTCTTTCCCTGTTCCACACACGCCGTCGGTTCTTCTCCCTTTCCAAAGAGATTAGCAGTCAGATCTATCTATCTTTCGCCTTCCCACCTTAATTCACTTCCTGTTTCTCTGTGATTTGCCACATGCCCCGCCCCTGCTCACTCTATTCCTCTATTACCTTCCACATACCCCACTCTCCCTCTCTTTTAGAACACACCACTCCTTCTATTATAACTTTATATTGCGCGTGCATATTTTGCGCCATCGCCCACGTAGATGAAAGAAAAACTGACAAGGAGTAAAATTTTCAAATCTCTTTTGGGGGCTTCATTTCTATTTGACAATGAAATACGTTAAGCAAATCGTGTTTTATTGGATCCCGTATAATAGCAAGAAAACACAAATGGAAATAAATAATAAATGTGTGTGTGTATGTGTGTGTGTGTGTGTGTGTGTGTGTGTGAGTGTGCATGTACGTGTGTGTGTGTGTTCGTGTGTGCGTGCGTGCGTGTGTGTGTGTGTGTGTGTGTGTATGTGTGTGTGTGTGTGTGTGTGTGTGTGTGAGAGAGAGAGAGAGAGAGAGAGCGAGAGAAAGGTTACACTAAAAAGCTAAACAAAATAAGAAGATAAATTTATACGGATATTGGAAAAGTAGTGTGCACAATTCATCATATCTACCCTACACAAATAAGTTCTCACTAGGGAAGATTTGTCTAACTACCACTTTTTTGTCGTCAGTTTCATGTAGTCCACACACACACTCTCTCACACACACACATACACATAGTCACACACATAGACACACACACGCTCAGACACAAACACATACGCAAACAAAACACACACACATAGGGCCTATACACAGACACACACACACACATACACACACACACACACACACACACAC